CTGGATACAGGCAACAAAGACAACTGAGGCCAGAGTAGTAGTATTTTGATTAAGTGTTTTTATTTGACTGATGTTGTAGTTATGACCACTTTAGAAGAACTTCTAGGGCAATTTGCAGACCAAAATATGGATAGAATGTTCTTCTAAGGCTTGGGGAGGCTATATGTATCTCTCCCTGAAGAGAAAACAGACAGTTAACTAAATACTCAAGAAATACGTGCTGTCCTTTCTGTCTCAGTTGGTAGAAGGAAACATATCCCAAATTCTGCAAGAATTTCTTCTGTAAGGAAAAAAGGAAAAACATGTCATTTGTAATTACAGAAAATGTAATTTTCATCCTTTCTCCAGTTCATTAAATGTATAAACAAGCCACCCTGACTGTGTTAAAGTTTCATGGACACTTATGACGTAACTAGTTTGGGGGCTATTTCTGTATTTTACAAATTAATGGTGCCACTTTATCGCAATGTAATCTTACAGTTGTAACCTACCTTGGCCAAAAAGTATCAAACGTGGTATACAACTCATCCCTGCAATAGCTTATTTGAATGTGTCATTTAGTGCTGAACATAAGTAAAAGAACTTCATTTCTTTTACACATTTTTATAGAAGAACACTGTAGAGGAACTGGCTTCTGGAGTACAGGTGCATGCGTGGTTATATATACTGTTATTTTCAACTGTTCCCTCCCTTTTCTCATTTCTCCTTTCATTCCTTTCTGTTTCTTCCTCTCACTTTTTACTCCTTTCAGTTTTAACTGAGCTTTTCAGGGGTCAAAGTCTGGAAGCTCCTATGAGTTTCATGGTAAATCATGCCATCAAGCCAGTATGTATTGAAGACCAAGCTGGCACATGCAGCATATAGAAAAGCCTATAGCAAGTCTTAGCTGATATTAGCTGGAGGAGAGCAGAGAAGAGGAGAGGGAAGAGAGGTTGACCTTGCAGGAAGAGTTGAAAGTATTGGACTGTTGGAGTGGTTAAACATGCAGAAGAATCATTTCTGCTGCTTGTAGAAGAGCTCATTTGTTACTTTCACCTTTCCAAGAATTATGCAAGCTATTCATCCTAAATAGTGGATTCTGCTGCCAATAAACTACTTAATATAAAAAGCAGCAAATACTTTTTTTAATAGTTAGCTTTCTGATGGCTAATTATAGCTTTAAAATGTTCCATTTAGAAAAGTGATCTTAAGTTGCCTCCTGGAGAGATCTTCATTGATAGGATTAGTTTTTCCCACATATTCAGGCTGCCTCACCAGCCCTCCTCATATTTCTTCACTTGTCCAGAACAGCCTTTAAAAAGTCTTCTTTTCATGTGTACATTAGGGGCTTGTAGTCCATTAATTAAGCTACAATATTTAAACAGTGTTATCAGAGAAGACTAGCACATATTTAGTGCATGAAAGAGGAACTGAAATATTTTAAGTATTTCTGAGGCCTGAAGTGTTAGGAAAGGAGTCCTAAATTCAAGACCATAGAGTTGTTCTGCTCTTGTGTTACTCCCTACCCCAGCTCCCAGTTTGTAATTTAATTATTCTGCTGGATCGCAATTGGGTAAATAGTTATCATATAGAGCAGGCAGTGCTTCATAACATTTATAGGTTGTGCTGAGAATATTTTTAGGAAAAACAAATTTTGCATTTGGACTTGGCTTCAGCCCTGTAGAGAGCCTTGGATGTTTAATGTTTCTTTCTTTACTGAATTTTTAATTACTTTTTTTTTTTTTAAACCTGTCAAACAAGTACAGCCACAGAAAACTACTATAAAGAAGTCAGTATGTTCTAAATTTATGGATTACGTAATGACAGTGACTTGCACAAAGAGGCCATACTGTCTACCACAGGGCTCTGTGTCCATTATGCAATCTCTCTTGTGACACCTTATTCCAGCAACATTGCCATTTTTGCCATGAGAACTTTTCTACAGTTACCCAGACCTGGATAGTCAGCTGATTCTGTTTACATACACTGCACTGAGGAAACTTTGAACCATTTTATGGTTGTTATTCAGTTCACATTGTTTTGCAGACTTTGGCAGTGGTTTTATAAGTGTTTCAGCACCAGTATGGGAAAGGTCAGACTCCAGGGGAGCTCTGTAGTGGCTGGAGCACAGGATATCACTTTCATCAATACCGCAAGAAAGAAGCAAGTGAGATTCATGCAACTGCATTTCTGAGTTCACACAACAATATTGCTGAAATAAGAAAGTTACTGAGTGACATAAAATGCTGAGAGTAGTCCCCCAGTGGATGCAGACATATGGCCACTGTTGCCAGGTGGCTTTCTTCAGGTGTTCTTCAGGACTGTAGTGACCTGCCTGGCTGAAAACAGTCTTGTAAAACTGGTGTAGATTCTTGAGTTTCGGAATTGAGAGTTAGGCATGGGAAGGTAATAAGTTACCTATGGCTTGTTTTAAGGAAACCAGTAATCAATTTTTCTTAAAGAAACCATTTTATAATCGTGGGCAGCAATGTGCAGTGCTTGAGAGATGGTTAAGTAGTGGTTGAAAGAATTCATGCTTATTCATAAAACTGAGTGAATGAATAGGAATCAGATTGTAGAATGGGATCAGATTTAAGAACTGAAGAATCTTACAGAGCATGTTAATTTGAAAAGGATGACACAGACTGTTAGTTTATTAGTCTTTTTTTGACTGTGGATCAGATTATAATCCATAAATTACATGACCATTAAGGATGAGGAACTCTGCTCTGGTGAGACCCCACCTGGAGTACTGCATCCAGTTCTGGAGCCCCCATTACAAGAGGGATGTGGACCTGCTGGAGCGTGTCCAGAGAAGGGCCACCAGAATGATCCAAGGGCTGGAGCAGCTCTCCTATGAGGACAGACTGAGAGAGTTGGGGCTGTTCAGTCTGGAGAAGCGAAGGCTCCGAGGTGACCTTATTGTGGCCTTCCAGTATCTTAGGGGGGCCTACAAGAAAGCTGGGGAGGGACTTTTTAGGATATCAAGTAACGACAGGACTAGGGGGAATGGGGCAAAGCTGGAAGTGGGCAGATTCAGGCTGGATGTGAGGAAGAAGTTCTTCACCATGAGAGTGGTGAGACCCTGGAATGGGTTGCCCAGGGTGGTGCTCGAGGCCCCATCCCTGGGGGTCTTTAAGACCAGGCTGGATGAGGCTCTGGGCAGCCTGGTCTAGTGGGAGGTGTCCCTGCTCATGGCAGAGGGGTTGGAACTGGGTGATCCTTGTGGTCCCTTCCAACCCTGACAGATTCTGATCTGTTTTGGCAGAGGACTTTGGAGCCCTGGTGGCTCGGTGGTTGGACTTGATGATCTTTTAGGTCCCTTCCAACCTAAATGATTCTATGATTCTAAGCATGGTTATGTGTAGGGCTCCATGAGAAACTGTGGCCAGAAAATTCAATTTGTTCTAGCATGCGACTAAAAGAGAAAACTGGAAGTATCATGCTGGTGCATCTACCTGGTTTTGTCAGTTGAAGTGTTGTTAAAATGTGTAATTGATGCTAGTTGGTTTCATTTTGCAAATGTAGAAAGATCAAAAAATGTTGGTTGCAAACATTGGCAGAGAGATCTGTTCTCCTGGTTTTTGGATTGGATGTGTGTTGGATAATGAAGAATTAGAAATTGCTACCATCTGACAGCTGCTTGATTTGAATAAATGATTGTTTTTCCTATTTAATTTGTTTTAGTTTATCCCCACAGTAACAGACCAGCCACAATAAGCAGCTGTCTTTACAATCTTAATGGCAGGGCCAGAATCAGTGAATTGGTACCTTCTACTAACTTCAAGCTGGAACATCAGCAGGGTCATTGTGTAATGAGCAGATTAAAATGGCTGTTCAGGTTTGTGACACTTTGAGGGCTTGCATGTTGAGTTTAGCACTGAGCTAATGTGGCTGCACAACTTCTAGGTTAGAGGTGGCTTACAGAAGGATGGGGCAGACTGCATAGCTAAATTGTTACATTTGCTTCAATGTTGTCTGCTCACCTGCTCTGCTTTCTAGTAGCTTGGTGTCTTCCTCTGGCATTTGCTTGTCACTATCAATGATAGTCCCTATGGTGTCTTCTCTTTTCAGCTACTTATTTGACACTAGTCAGTGATCTGTTTTAAGACCGTATGTCATCAGGTCTCTGTCGGAAGCAGAGCTGTGTTGCTTGAAGCTTAGCAGGCACGTAGAAGAAGCTCTGCTTGCCTCTTTTCCTCTTTCTGTACTTGTCAGTGAGGCTCTCTGGGCTATAGGGTGCTTTATCATACTCTGTATGGTGGCTATAGGGTGTCTCTTTTCCTCTTTAAGACTCCACTGTCAAAGTTCACAAGTTTGACCTGTCTGGATTGTCTTACAAATATTTTCTTTAAGTTTTAAAGTTTTGTTTGAGACAATCAAGTCTAAATTGCATTCTCTTCCAAATTTTGTTTGGATCTCCTCCTTTTGTTTGTATTTTCATATGTGGACTGGTGAAAACACCATTACCTATCAGGTCTGAGCTCTTGTCTTCCAGCTCTTGACTTCTGTCAACTTGCATGGATTTACACTGCATAAAGCCAAGGCTAGAATTCTGCCTTGGCTTTATGCAAGCCAAAAGCAGATCTGCAGATTGCTAGAAATCTTTACATACCTGTAATCATCCGAATTACTGTGGGTGAAAATCTTATTACGTTAAACACAAGTATCTAAGGATTAATTATATTTATTTTTTTCAGTCAGTTGTTTATTTACTTTAACCATTTACTTAGGTACTGCCTCATTAGGTGAAAGACTATTTTAGGTACTCTTTTTTCCTTCTTTTTCCCTGCAAGATCACATATTCCTCCCAAATTCTTTACATTTCTCCTGTAATTCCTTAAGAAGCAGCATTTTTATTTACAAAAGAGAGCACACTTGCCAAGACAGAAGCCTTATCAGTCCATGTGAATACTTGTGTGTCCATTTTTGCTCCATTCCGTGTGAAGTAAGAGGGCAGATTCAGTGGTTATTCAACACTAAATCCTTTTGAAAGTGGTTATCTTATGATTTTAATAAAGGCCTTTTCTGCTCTTTTGCAGTCGCTTTTGGAAGCACACGATATTGTGGCTTCAAAATGTTACGATTCCCCTCCTTCTAGCCCAGAAGTCAATAACTCTTCAGTGAACAACCAGATTGTTCCAGTAGATGCTATTCGTATTCTTGGAATTCACAAAAGAGCAGGAGAACCTCTGGTAAGTAATTGAACATGAGTGTCTTTAGACTGTGAGTGAAAATGTTTGCATGTGCCTGATTTTTTGCATTATTATTTCCATGATTATGTCATGTGATTGTAATGGATGGTAAGATTAGTACTGAGAGGTTGAAACAAGAAGATATTTGTGTGTTCTCCATCCTATTCTCTTTAAGAAATCACGGGATAGTGAATAGGCTGTCACTAGGCTGAGTGACATGATAGCATAACTGACTAACGCAACATTCTGTTTGGTCCTGATACCAAATGACAGGATTGCGTGTGCTCACGAAAAATACAGCCCTTGTTCAGTCATATGAAGACCTTGTCTGAAAGTGCTTTTGTGTCACCTGGTACTTACCTGTGTAGTAGGAACTCTCACACTGTAGTAACTATTACCGTCTGGCTTGACTGGGTTAGACAGAATATCCCATAGCTGTGTATTTTTGTTTTGAGATGACAGTAAAATGAAATGGCAATTCAAACAGTGGTAATCTGGGTGTCACATACCTCTTTCAGGGCGTTACATTTAGAGTTGAGAACAATGATCTGGTAATAGCACGGATTCTTCATGGCGGGATGATAGATCGACAAGGTCTGCTGCACGTAGGTGACATTATTAAAGAGGTGAATGGCCATGAGGTTGGAAACAATCCAAAAGAACTGCAGGAACTGCTGAAAAATATTAGTGGCAGTGTTACTCTGAAGATTCTCCCCAGCTACAGGGACACTGTTATTCCTCAACAGGTCGGTAGCACATTTCTAACAATTCTGAGAAGAGAGCTTCTTTTTTGCATAAAATTATTTTAAGATTTTGGATTAGACATGTTTTGATTGTTTTGTGTATTTAATGAGAGCAGGAAGGCTAAAACGCAGATACCTGTATTCACCTTTAAGTGCATTTTGGAAATGGGTTTATTTATTATTATATACCATGCCTAATACACCTGCCTGCAAAATGATAATCAGTATCTAAGGTTGATAAGCAGTTGTATGCAATATATAAAGCGCGTTTCTTTGACATCCAGTGACCTCTGATGACCTAGCCACAGTCACACTAATTTGCAGAGAACTTCATGTATCTATAGCATGATCAGTGTCCAAGTAATCCGCTTCACAGAATTCAGAAACACACTGCATTCAACAGATGAGCTTGAACTCGGTGACTTAAGTAGGAAGCTGGGTGGTGGCTGTTCCCCAGCCTTTGGTTGTTGCTGCAGGCTGTCGGATTCTCCACTGCAGAAGTAACTTGTTGTTCTCAATCAGTGCCTTTGAAACATCTTACAAGAAAAAAGTCAAAGATGTTTCCAGTTAATGATGCAGCTTACTTTTTCTTCCCCTGAATCATATTTGAGTCTTAAGCAATCACACATTTTATTTGTTTTAGAACTTTGTGTTCATGGCAAAATTAATTCTTGAGATTCCACAAGCCTTGAATACAGTGCTCACATTCTGAGATTTTTTTTATATTTTTGAGTAATTTAAAATCAGAATACTAATTGAGTTATATACACTGAAATGCAAAAATGAGTGTTTTGTCATACATTGTCCAAACAGAACAGTTGGTTTTTTATTTTTGTCATGAAGCTCCTTCAGCTGAGGTTTGCACTGCTGGTTATTCTGCTCTTTCAGCTGCTATGTACTGGGTTTTGCTATAGATTGTATTTTACCTGCCAAATGGATCACGTCACACTTTTTATGCTGTAGGTAAAGACATTATTTCAGTTTGACAGATAAATTAGGAAAAATGTATTGTATAATGTTTAAACTTTGTAAATTTTTTACACATTTCAGGTTTTTGTGAAGTGTCATTTTGATTATAATCCATATAATGACAACCTCATCCCATGCAAAGAAGCAGGTTTGAAATTTTCTAAAGGAGAAATTCTTCAGATTGTAAACCGGGAAGATCCAAATTGGTGGCAGGTTGGTAAAAAGATTTAAAAAATAAAGTGGAAAAAAACCCCTGAAAATCTTCACTAGTTGCCTTAATAAAACTCTTTAACTTATGCTTTACTTCCTTTTAACAGTAGATGTAAGAAAAAATATTTACACTGCAATCCAACTTCAAGCCGATATCAAGATATTAACAATGGAAATACTAGAGAAAATTGAATGGTATAAATTGTATCTGTAACACTCATTTTGCTATTACTTCTATTTATTTGTCTTAGTTCTTATATCATAAGGCCAGACATTCCAAAATCAGTTTAAGTGGACATTTTCTATCAGGAAGGCTTACCACAACTAACAGATTTAGCTGACAGCAACTGTGGAAGAAATGGGTCCTTTCCTGAGAGCTCACATTTGAGGGGGAGAGAGAGAGGGAAATTGACCCTGTGGATTTGAAGAGGGGTGAGAATAGCTATTTGGAGAAGCCATATTTTTAAATTCCACAGTGATGGTCAGTGCCTGTGAGCGCCAACATCTACATTCATAACCAAAGCGTTTGGTACTGTTTCAATGATTAACAGTTTCATCTTGCTTTAAAGTTGTATTTCTACACTTAGTCTTTCAGTGGAAATGTAATCCAGTGCTTATGCTATTTTTATTTTTTCCAAGACACTATGTACGCAATTAACCATCATCAGTGCCTTTGAAAATGGGACGAATGAACCTTTAAAACACCTTTTTTAGCTGAAATACTCAAAATTGCGAGTGGCAGTGGCAATTTAGGCACAGTTTAACATTATTAATTTCCCTTTCTACCCCTAAATTGCTCACCCTTTGCTAAATAATAAGCGATGGTGAAGCAAACATTACTTGATAATAGTATATATTTCAGTTCTTTAAAAGTGACAGAAATATCTGAATATACGTCAACGACCGTTGATGAATTCTGTTGCTTGTCAGTGACAGTGATAATAGAAAGAAAGAGAATAAAAAGTGTAAGGGAAGGTGGAAATTTACTGCTGCCAAGTTAATTAGTTTTGGAAGTCAGACACTCCAAAACTCTGGAGTAGTTTGACATTTAGTTTACGTGCTGTCTTCTGTACTCCAAATTCTCCAGTTGTAGCCTGTGGGAGTCCAGAAGAAGTAAATCTTAAACAGTCAATCAGTGGCAAAAATGAAATGCATTAAAGCGATATAGTACATTGCAAGTGTTGCTGTGCACATCATGCCACTGGGGAAAAAAAATTAGTTTCTCCTTGTGCTTTCTAGAAATGCTGGAGTGTTACTGAAAACTTGCTAACTAAAAAATCAGTCAGTCATAGGTAAAAGCATGTAAATTGAAAAGCAAACAGTTCCTGTTAGCAAGAGACAGGTCAACCAGTTAGAGAAGTTGGAGAAGAAAAGTGTAACATTTTGGAACTCTGGGCTTGTGTGTGTTAAGCTTGTTGAGAGGTGAGTTTGCCATGAAGTGATTTTATAGAGTATCTTAGCCAAACCTTCATTACTAGGAATACTTATGAACATTTTAAATCTGAGATAAGTGCAAAAAGCTTGAAGGCTTGATTAGACACATGTTAATGGCATTTGCTGTCTGAGACATGGCAGTTCATAAGCTGCACTGGAACCTGTTTGGAGAAGCTCAAGGATACAAAATGAGTGTACTGTGTACTAGAAAGTCTTGGGTTTTGTCACTTGAGAATTCAATGTCTGGAGCCATAGAATTCAGTTTTGGATTTTGATGCCAAAGGTTTATGGCTATAGGATCTTACTAACTTAATGGTAATGCTAACTTAATGGAACTAGTAATTAAACTTAAATAAAATAGGTAAAAGTTTCCTGAATTTTAATATTCAATGGCAAGACACTGTTGCTGTAAGACAATTTTAATATCTACTTCTAAGTTTGAATTTCCAAGTCTCAGTGGTAAATGTAGCAATACTCGTCAGTAAGGAACTGGCAATGTGAAAATCAGTCAACACCACATCAGTAAGAAAAATGCTTCTCACGAGTTAACTATTTTTTTTTTTTTTTAACTCCTACCTAACCCCCTACAAACCCCTCAAGGCCAGTCATGTCAAAGAAGGAGGAAGTGCAGGGCTTATTCCTAGCCAGTTCCTGGAAGAAAAGAGAAAGGCCTTTGTTAGGAGGGACTGGGACAACTCAGGTGAGGTTTAATGAATTTCATGAAAATATTTTGCTCCATTTATTATTAAACTAAACTCCATTTATTTTGCTTCTCCTGCCTTCATAGATACTAGGAAACTGCGGTGTGAGAATATACAGAGTATTGCAAAATTCTAATTATTATATGTTGGCTTTGACTGAAGGGCAAAGGCTGAAGTCTGTGCTTAGTCTTCATAGCTACATGAATCAGTTTTGTCATCTCCTGATGAAAAGCTAAAGGAGGGATGAAAGACATAAGAATTAACTCTTTTTTTTAATTATGTTTTTTGAGTATATATTCAAACTTAATAAATTAAACCCATTTGATAGATTTTTCTGCTGCTTTTTACAAAGCTTTCTAGGAAAATTAATTTTTTTCTCTGTGTTCAGTTCTTACTGTACCATCTGATGTGTATGAAACGAGATGTGATCTCCTTCCCTAGAATATATAAAGTTCTAAAATAATCCTTGTCAATTTAATTAATCTAAACTTGCATTTGTTCATGTAAATAAGCTTTGGAAAAACACATTTCACAAAAATTGTTTGTCTCAATTTTTATTTTTAGGGCCTTTCTGTGGAACAATAAGCAGCAAAAAAAAAAAAAAGATGATGTATCTCACTACAAGAAATGCAGGTATCTCTTAATACTGCATATGAGTCAAAGTTCTGTAGGCTTCTAAACTTGTAGAGTCTAATGTAACCAAAGCTGAAAGATTTTCAGTAAAATATTTGATTATAAATTTTATATCAGATAGGTTTTTTTTGGTTTAAAAGCAATAATGACTAGTGAAGATATGGTGATGCTGAGTACGTCTTTTGGTGGGTGGAAGTCAAGAAGAGTTGTGTGTTCAAAGAGTAAAAATGTGAAAGCTTTGTTGACAGGAGGTTGAGGGATGTGGTCCTTCCCCTCTACTTAGCACTGGGGAGGCCACACCCGAAGAGTACCGGGCTCCTCTCCAGTCCAAGAGAGACATAGGCCTACAAAGATGATGAAGGGACTGGAGCATCCCTCCTATGAGGAAGGGCTGAGAGAGCTGGGACTGTTCAGCCTCGAGAAGAGGAGGCTCAAGGTGCTCTCATCAATATATTTGAATACCTGAAGGGAGGGTGCCAAGAGGATGGCACCAGGCTCTTTTCAATGGTGACCAGGGACAGGACCAGAGGCAACAAGCCACAGGACTGGAGGCTTTGTCTGAACATCAGGAAACACTTTTTCCATCGTGAGGGTGACCAAGCAGATGCCATCTAAGGGTCCTTTCCAACCTCAACCATTCTGTGATTCTGTGAAAGCTCACTAATTGTTAATCAGTTTTACCATTATGATCAATCTTGAATTCTCCTCGTAAGTAAGAGCAATAATTTGACTTTATGCTGTCTAGAAGTGGGTAACTATTTTATTCCTGTACCAATTTAAAGCAAGAAGGCTTGTATCAGACTTTATGCCTTTTGGGTACTATTTATACTCCTGTGATCTGTTGGTGTATAGCAGGACTGCTTCATTTTTCTTCTTACAGTACTGACTCTGTATTTACTTCTTGTACGTTGCTCAATGTAGAATTTGACCGTCATGAAATCCAGATCTATGAGGAAGTAGCCAAAATGCCTCCTTTTCAGAGGAAAACACTGGTCTTAATTGGAGCCCAAGGGGTGGGGCGAAGAAGTTTGAAGAACAGGTTTATAGTACTGAATCCTACTAGGTTTGGAACTACAGTGCCATGTAAGTTGTCAGCATTTCTATTTTAATGTCATACTTGGAGTCTGATTATCTAGAAAATGCCTGATGTTTATCCTGGCAATTTAGGGTAGGTGTAATTTTGTCAAAGTAGAAAAATTGTGTAGCGTGGGAAAACAAAAGGTTCTTCATCTCAGACAACTACACTATGATATATTGATGACAGTGAAAATATTTGTAACTAGCAGTAAAATGTTACTGGTGCTATAGAAGAACAATTGTATGTGCAGTATTTCAGTCTGCAAGGTTTCTTCAGCAGCAGTCACCATCAGTTACTGAGGGCCTTCTAGAAATTCGTAGTAGTCTTCTGTAATAGAACAGCCAGTGGAGTTTCTCAGGTCTGCTCTTGTGTTTTCCACCTGTAGAAGGACCCTAGGCATTATAAATTGTTACTTTAGTATTGGAAATGTAGGGGAAAGCAACAAACTTCCAATAAAACTGAAGTGTTTGTGATCTCCAAGATTTGTATGACAAGCCAATGTTTTAATACATCTAGCCTCAAACCCATGATCTTTCTTTTTTTTCCAGTAAATTTTAGAAAAAAAAGTCTCCTTCCTTACTTAAGTATTGTTTCTTTGCCTTCCTCCCAGTTGTTCATTCACTCATTCACAAGATCTTTATTCTTAACTGCCCCCTCCTGTTTGACTGCTGACCAGAGAAGTCCACCCTAGCTACACCATTATTCTCCTCCTGCCACCTGCTTTTCAGAGTTTCAAAAGCAGTCTGTTCCCTTCTGGTTTCGGTGGGCAAGAAGCAGATCTCCTAATAGGCAGGAGGGAAGGGTCTGAAAGATGAATTGTGCTACATGGGAGAACCAGGGTCTCTCGTTTGCTGATCTCTAACACCAAAACTGGAATTGCTGTGTCTGACTGATAACGAGGTTGGCTTCCCGGTGTTACTTTTTAAAGGAAATCTTCCCCTGGGAATCTTGTTATTTCCTACTGGCAAAACAGTAGGAAACTGCTTATTACTTCTAAAATTATTTATTCCCTTTTTAAAAAACCCTCAAAATTGCCAGTTTCTCTAAAATGCTATGCAGATGCTGAAATATCTGTAACTAATGCAACACAATGTTAAAACATCTTTACTTGGAGGTCTTGAACACCCTTCAAAGACATAAAAATTAACTTTTCCAACCTAGCAATCTGACAGTCTAATCATGCACATGCAGTACAGAGTTTGTCCGCAGAATCTCCTCTCTACTTTAGTTTTTAAGTAGGGTTATCAATAATCTCAGTTAGCCTCAGTTTCTTTGATTGGTAGAAAAATCTCCTGGCTATTCATAAATAGAATGTGTGTGGGTTTGCTTTTTTCTTTTTTTTAAATGTCTGAAACTGATCTATTTTGCTATGGGGAGAAGCATGTCCTTGGTGCCAAGTTCTAATCCAGCAAATGGTGCTGTGGTTTTATTTCAGTATGGAGAGCTGAACCGTTAAGTCATCTTCAGGCTGTAGACTGTTAAAGCTCATTCTCCAAAATTTATTTCAAACTGATATGATTTTTTTTTTTATATATATATTATCTTAACCGTTTCGGTTTTAACCTTTCTGTAGAATCGTGGCTAAAACTAGATGTTCTAGTAATATGTTTATTGCTAACAGCTTCGGAAGATGATTTCACCTGGCACTTGTTTTCTATAATAATGAAGTTGATAGGAATTAGTGGAAGGGGGAGAACAATTTCCACTTGTTGCACCAGTTATTTTCAGAAATACATTTTGCATTTGAGAGTTAAACTTCTGTTTCATTTCCAAATCAGTTAAATAATGATTTTTATTCAGTGAATAATTAAAAAGATGACATGAGTGAGCATTTTATATGTTGTGAAGCAGTAATCCAAAGGAAGTAAGCAAATGGGTGGTAAGCAACATGTAGGAAAGACTAGAAATAATGGGAACAGGAGGGGCTGTGTTTAGTTTTGAAACTGAAACTAGAATAATTAATCTGCATATGGAACAATTATAATTGTATATTAATGTGCATTATGCTCTCCCTAACTTATAAGGCGGTCCAATCTCATATTTGTATTCCTAATGCAAAAAGAAAACATTCAATTTAGGTTTTAAATTTTTTGTTTGTTTAGTTACTTCACGAAAGCCAAGGGATGATGAAAAGGATGGGCAAGCATACAGATTCGTGTCACGAGCTGAAATGGAGATGGATATTAAAGCTGGCAGGTACCTAGAGCATGGAGAGTATGAAGGAAATCTTTATGGCACCAAAATTGAGTCAATCCTTGAAGTTGTTCAGACCGGAAGAACCTGCATCTTGGACGTGAATCCACAGGTACATCATGTATAGTGTTATGCTACGAGTGTAGAAGTATAATGTTGATGAGGTGTTGATGAGCCTTTATTTGAAGGCTTCTTGTCTGGTTTAAAGACTACGGTATCAGCTGGATTCTTGCATTAGTGGCAGTTAGTTGGAAGGAGTTAGAAGGATGGAGAAAACCAGCTTAGATTCTGCATGGAGGAGCAGTTTCCAGAGTAGTAAATAACCTTTTTAGGCAAGGTAGCATTAGTTTTGCAGTGCTTCTTAAGTAATGGGACATGTGGTGAGTCATTCTCAAACTTAGTTGGGTTTTGGGGGTTTTTTTTTTGTTTGTTTTTTTTCCTTGCTTCTAGGCCCTGAAAATACTGCGGACTTCAGAATTCATGCCCTATGTGGTGTTTATTGCTGCTCCAGAGTTGGAGACTTTGCGTGCTATGCACAAGGCTGTGGTAGATGCTGGAATTACAACCAAACTCCTTACTGTAAGCAATTCTTTATTATTTAGTTTGCTTTGAATGGGATGTTCTTAGTTCTTTGGGTTTTTTTTTACCTGCCATTTTAGATGAAATTTCTTTTGAAATTAATGTCTTTAGTAGAAGTCTTGCTTAACTTTTCTTAATGATTACTTAATAGAAGTTACTCTATATAATACAGATTTGCTTCTTTCTTAAAAAGAGACCTCTTACAGAGTAGTTTTGATTTGGGAGGTGATGATTTGCAGCAAATGGTAGATATTTGATAGTGGGAGTTGTTCTTTTATGTGAGTGTCTTTCTCTCACTTTCCCCATCTCTGCCTCTCAAAAGTTTTGTTCAGGTTTGTCTTATAATATAGTTGTGCTTCAAAACTGGGATCTATAATCCTTGGGAAAGATCCTGTGTCCTGAGTAAAAAAAAACAACAAAGCAAACCAACCTCCAAAACCCAACATCAGAATGCAGCTAGGCCTTGTTTTGACTGCTGCAGCAGTGCATGCTGCCCTGAGAATGGCTGGGAGCTGCCAGAGTAAGAAGTGTGGAACAGCTTCGCTTTCCCTCCAGTGCCCCACGCTTGTCGGCCAAGCGCAGAGGCACACGTTGTTCAGTGGGTCTTCTCTCCTTTCCTGAGATGAGGGTGTGTAGCAGAGGGAAAGGAAACATGCTTCTAATGCTGGTGGGGCATTGTAAGCAATGAAATGAGGAGTGACTTAATTTCTACTAAATGAACATGGAATTTTAGTATTTTATTTTTTCTTTTCAAACCTGTGAGATCCCATTCTTTTTAACCATGAGAGACTGTCTGGTCCTACTCATACATTCTCGTCATTATAGATTCTAGTCATCTCTGGTGAGTGCTCTGCTTTTCCTCCTCTCTACCCCAGATGAATCCTGAATTTTGTGACTAATTCAGTGATTGGTGCGTTTAACCCTAGCTGGCAACTAAGCCCCACACAGCTGCTTGCTCGCTGCCCACCGTATGATGGGGAGAGAGCTGGAAGAGCAAAAGTGAGAAAACTCGTGGATTGAGAGAGAGAATCAGTGTAATAGAGAAAGCAAAAGCCAGGCACACAAGCAAAGCAAGCCAAGGAACTGCTTCACTGGTCCCCCTCGGCAGGCAGGTGGTCAGCCATCCCCATCACCTGTAATGGGGACTTGAGAAGACAAAACACCATAACTCCAAATGTGCCTTCCCTCCCCCCCCCCTTCTCCTTCTTTCCCCAGCTTTCTGTGCTGGGCATGATGTCACATGGTGTGGGACATCCCTTTGGCCAGCTGGACGTGCGTTTGGCCGGCTGGGGCCAGATCTCCTGGCTGTGTCTCCTCCCAGCTTCCTGTGCACCCCTGGTGCACTGGCTGGTGGGGTGGTGTGAGAAGCTGCAAAGGCCCTGACTCGGGGTGAGCCCTGCTCAGCAGCACTGGGAACATCCAACACTCTGCTACCAACACGGTTTCCAGCACTGAGCCAAACCATTGCCCCGGACCACAGCCCTGTACCAGCTCCTGTGAAGAAAATTCACCCCCAGCCAAAACTAGCACAGTGATACCTATACAAGGAGTGGTTAAAAATGTCCAGACAAATACAAAAATAATTTCCTTCACTTCCTAATATTTGATTCCTTAAGGGACATGCTTGTCTTTGTTTTACTTTCCTTATGAATAATGAGGAGTATAGTTACAGTTAAAATATACATTTGTGTATCTTTACAGATTCTAAAGCATATCTGTACATGTATATAAAGAATGTGATTTTCCATTTCATTTTCTTGTTCTTCATGAACAAATGAAAACCAAATGTAATTTAAAATTTTATGTTCTGCTTGCTAGTGGGTCTGTCTACATTACTTCTAGCATCCTGAGTCACTCTATTGCAAAAATTCTGGCTCTTGTGGTGGTACATTTGCTGTTTCCTTCATTTACTGTGACAGAAAGGCTAGTCACAAACTTACTTTTTCATTTTGGCTTTTGCATTTACAATTGTATTAGTTGTAAATACAAAAATCTTGCAATTACAAAAATATTAAAATAAATTGTCAAGGGGACAAATGTTATGACTGCTTAAAAAATTCTTCTTTTTTCCAAAAGTGAAGAGGACATTTCTAACAATGTAGGACTAATAAAACAAAAAATGCTCAGTGGCAGAGCTTCATGAAGGCTTCATAATGTAGGAATATAAATTTCCTGCATGTTTTGCTGCTTATGTCAGAACTAGAATAGTACAGCAATAGTTTACAAATGAGGAACTGGTGTCAGCAGGGCTGAAAGGTAGCCTCCAAAAGCAATAAGGTATTCTAGAGCTTTATTCTGCTAGAAATGTGTCTTTCATTTCATAGTAATTTAAATTCTTGCATTTTTGGTGCTTCCTGTGGAAATACAAAAGGGCACAAATATATTTACGTAACCGTTTGACTCGGTGATTCCTAAAGCATTCCTGTGAGTCTGGTTGGATTTAGTTGCACATTCGAAATTATCGACTGCCCGTCGTGCGGACCGGCACAAGTTCCGTGCTTCTGTCGGCTCTCCTAAGAACTGCAAGACCTGCAAACATTTGGTTGCCACTTTTAGAACTATTGGCACAGCTCAGAACTTTTTCAGCCCTTTCAGTGCCTTTTAGCTTAAGCTCTGTGTGGATTTACTACAAGTGGAAACTTTGATTATTCTCAGAGTCTACCCAGTATATAGGTTTAAATAGTCAGCTGCAGTATGTCCTGAAGTATGGCCACGTCTTCTGTCCTGAGTGACCTTTGCCATCTCCTCCCCAGGACACCGACCTGAAGAAAACGGTGGACGAGAGCGCGCGGATCCAGAGAGCCTACAACCACTACTTCGACCTGACCATTGTGAATGACAACCTGGACAAAGCCTTCGAGAAGCTACAGACTGCCATCGAGAGACTGCGGCTGGAGCCACAGTGGGTCCCAATTAGCTGGGTCTACTGAGAGTTCCCCACAGGAGCCGAAGTGACAGACAAAAGCCAGTACACCAAATAGGCTAAAGTGACGTGTAGATACCGACAGTAACCTGCAGCACCTGTGCATTTTTACTCTCTGTATATTCAAAAGTACGCGATTCTGAATTTTTATAAAAATGTTGGAGGGAAAGTGTACTTAAATATGTAATTTATTTTAATTTTTCTAACTTTTTACAGATAACCTTTCTATTCATATCACATGAGGGAAATGCGTTTAAGCATTTTTATATGTTTTGATTTAGTAACTTTGCCTTTTTTGTCTACAAAACTTTCAGTCATTCACTTCAACATTTACATCTTGGTCTTACATTTTCACTGTGATTAAAAAAGGGATACTTGAAACCATTTTTGTAAAGCTTGTTAATGTCAGTGTTTAACTGGTCAAAAGTCTACAGCTCTTATTAGGAATGAATACTAATATCCTTGGATTTTCTTTTTCCTTCCTTAAAAAAATAATTTAATGGGAGCAGAATTTTAAATATTAAAAGCAGCAACCAACACGCAGCTCCATTGCTCCAGCTTCTTTCAGCTTAATGTTGGTGCATTCGTGATGTTTCACCAGTTCCTGACGTCTCTTGATTTAGACAACTGTTGTGTAGGTTCTCTTCTACGTGTCTCTGAAAATAACATAAAGCAAAACCTTGCAAGCTGCCTATTAGGCTGCTCTCGTGAGCCAGCCTGTTCTGGCTGCACTTCATTAGGGCTGAAGTGCTGATGTTAGGAAGCTTGTGCACAAGGCAGTCCAGTGGTGAGGTAGCCTGAGAGAGAACCTGGAAACGTGGAGCCTTGGAGAGCGGCGCTTGATGTTTAGGACTATTTATTCACACTTGTGCAAATACATTGCTCTAAAAAAAGAAAGAAGAAAAAAAAAAAATTTCTTTTCTTAGGACATTGTTCAGTATTTGTATAGTGATCTGTGGCTTAATTTCCTGTGATACCTAGTTGGGTTCTATATTATCTTTTTGAATATTTGTGTGTGATCAACTGCTGTATTTTTATGAGCGTGATGTAACGGAATTTCTGTGCTTTTTGTTACGTTGGTTTTAATTGCATTTTTTCATTAGATAGCTTGTGAATTGGAAGCTTACTGCTAAGAAGCAATGTTGTTTATACCTTTTTGGTTTACAGAATACTTACTTTGTTTCAGTGACAGTTCTCCCCTTAGGCTCGTTGATACAATTCATGTTAGGTTTGAGTTCATCAATCAAGACTTACACCAATGTAAATTTCTGCTTAATAACAAAACAAAAATATAGTTTGTTGCTAAGACTAGCTCTTTTTGTGACCATATTTTATATTATAACTTCAGCTGTGGTATATAGCAACGTTAACCATCACTTACCAGCTTAGGTGTCTAAACTGAAGTCTTAGGTTTGTTTAATTTCTCTTCCATCTGGTGACAGGCACCTGGCTTCTGAATTCTTTTTTGACACCAAAGCATGACACAGAATGCTATCAAAAGGCAGCTTCCTCAGAATTACTTCTGCAGGAGAAAAGGCTTAGGCACTGTGAAACAGTATTGCTTCGTGAGGCTCTTAGAGACTTTTATGTTCATGAGGAAAAGAAAAATGGAGTTGTTGCATTATAGGAACAGTAAGTCTCAAAAAAAACCCCTCCAACTACCTGTATGCTACAGATGAGTTTTAGAAAGCTGGTTGTTGCAGGGGAGTAGCAGGGGGGGCTTGAAATCCCAAGCTGTGTGGAAAATGTGAGTTGAAGCTGTCTATAGCACAGATAATCTGTGGCTCTCAATGCGGAGGTTTCGGTCTTTAGAGGGAATCTGAAATTCTCTAAGGAAGATCTGTACCACTACTTTGTTTTGTTGTTTGGCTTTTCAGGATGTGTTTTCTCTGGTCTTGTTTCAGTTCTGCAGAGCTTTTAACTGTGGCACCAGCGTGAGACTTTTGTTTTCCTTTCCCAGGAGAGATGTTCTGTGATCCTGTGGCTCAGAGGCTGCTCTGAGCCGTGGGTGGAGCCTTGGGTGTAGCAGCAGTGATGGCAGGGCCTTGCTTGGCTGTTTGGATGATCTGCTGTTGGCACTCTGTGCCCAGCGTGACTGAACTGTGTGTGCGTGCTGTGTCACAGGAGACCTACAGCTGCTGTAAATAGGATGTGCTACCTGGACAGCTGTGATGCCTTTTCGTTACAAGTTAGAAAATACTCTATTTGTGATGCCAAAAGTGAGCTGAGCTCACTCTTCCCTAGTGAATGGAATGAGAAGATTCTGCAGTTTCTGCACCACGGTACTTTTATATTTAAAATAAGTGATATTTGCATCTTTCTCCCTTAAATGTACTTAACTATATGAAATGCATGAAACGTTGAGCACCAGGGTTACTCAGGAAAACCTCTCTGCTCCTATTTCCATCCCAGGGAGAATACTGTCAAGAGAACCAACCTAGTTGGCAATCTCCAAATAGCCATCCATGTATTTGCTAAAGCCTAAAGCTTCAGCTTTTGCTACACATTCCCATAGTGTTTTTAAATTGGTGAGTGTGGTGGAGCCTGGTGCCTGACCATTCGGTGGTGTTAACATGGAAGCTAAGGAGAAGTACGCTTCTGAAGCAGTAAGAGAAGATGGCTGGCTTAGGATGCACGCTAAGATTGTATCAAAGTGTCTGCAGGTGTTCATTGGATGTCCACATGCAGTTTGTAAGGGGCTGTGGGGTGCAGAACCCAAACCCAAACCTCACACTCCTTGTCTCTGTTCATTAAATCTTGAAAAGTGAGAGTTCAGACTAGCAGGTACATAATGTTGGGAGCAAGGTTAGGGGAGAGGGATTGGTTTCTTTTTGTTGTGGTGGGGTTTGGGTTGGTTCAGATTTTAGCAAAATCAGCTTTGCTTCATATTCTGTGCAGGCTGTCACCACCTGGTAGGATGACTAGAAAGAGAAGGGCAGTTTCTTTCAAAGAGAATGTTCTTGGAGTGATGGTGCTGTCTTGGTCAAAGGCAGCGGTGACTGTCGCTGCCTGTCAGGGCACGCGGGAGCAGCTGTTAGGGAGAGACCTGTACGTGGTGCAAAAGACAGGATGACAGTGAAGCTATGTCATGTAACAGCTGTTTGACATATTCCGGAGGAGTTAAAGTAACCAGTATTTCATGTTTCTCATTTTGTACTAAACGTTCATTTTCCAGATGCTAACAGGAAAGCTTTTTACGTTGACTGTTAATGATAACAATAGGTGTGTCTGAGCGAGGCAAAGATGCTGCTAAATGTTTTAAGATATGTGGTATGTATCACAAGATATATATTTAAGTAGTTTAGAAAAGTAAATTATCAAATAGTTGTCTGTGTATATTTATGTATGTGGATGGTAAAACAAAAAAAACCCGCTCTCATCTGCTATCACATGACTAAGCTACCATGACTTAATCCAGAAATGTACCTGCATGTGAGACTTTAGAACCGGTACACTTCTCTACCTGGTTTATTGTGTTTACTAATGTATATTTTTCTAAATATACAGATATTTCAATCTAAAAATTCTATATTTATCTGTAATTTCTATCTGTTTTGGACAGTGCATGAGGTGCTGTAAAATTTTGTACATATAGAGGCTTATAGAAGAAACGCTGTAGTTGCCCTGTGAATGAAAAGTTATACATAAAAGTAGTCAGAATGCCAAGACCCATAAGTTATTTCCTTAAATGTACCAAAAGCTCCCTTAAGTGTGCACCGGTCTCAACTTTAATGTAAATACTTTGGTGCACGTGTACCCAAGTGATTACCTTGCCCTCTCTAAATGTTACACTAGCTGGTCTACTTTAGGTTCTATATCATGTGACAAGATGCAACCAATTTAAGTTTAGCGGGATAATTATCGTGGGATATGTCATCCTGCAGTGATTCATGAAAATCTTTCAAAATGTTTTGCAAATACAAAATGAAGGTAAAATTGGAGTAAAATCGCAGACTGATGTAGGCAAGGGAAATCCATTTTATAACCAGTGCAGTATCCTCAACTTGTGTTCTCAGAGGGCTGCAGCTCTGTGTCCTTGCTCATAGGAAAGCTTTTTGTGGAGCAGGATGGCTCATCACTTTAGATTTTCTGTTGATTGAAACCTGCACATCTTGGATAGGCCCAAAATGTGACACTTTTTCCCCAATCCTCTCTACAATTCTAGCTCATTGCAACTTCTAAAATCCTACCTAAATGACTTGCTATACATATTGCCTGCAGCTCAGTCTTCAGAAAGTCATCTGGGTTTGGTTTTTGTTTTGACGAGGGCAATTCAGATAAGAAATAGGAAGCTTTTTTTCTCTTTGAAACACAAAATATTCCTGGTTAGATACCCTTTGGAGCCAAGCTTGCCTCTCTGCTACTCTTAAGGACCAGTGGAGATGATCAAGTAGGGCACCACTCAAGAAACCAGGAGATGAGAGTTGCTGCCTGGCTTTACAGACAAACTGTTCTTGCAAACATAAACAAATTGCATCTTCCTTTACCTGTGCCCTCGTTTCCCAGCTACGCTTCCTCCATCCTCCTGCATCCCAGCTTTGGGGCAGATGCTGTTTCGCTACGTCTGCAGTGCCTGCTGCGGTAGATTGACTCCTCACTGTGCCTGTAGGTGCAGCTTCCGGACAAACTACAGGCAAAGGTCTATGGCATCACCATGCAAATGCACATGGACTGTTTGCTCCATGCCTCACCCACATTCTGAAGAGTTAAAAGTACCGTATTGTTGTTGCCAAACTTCATGATGCCACCTTCTGCTAAAGCAGTGAGGTCCACTTGCTGATGCCTAGGTGGGGGTCACTGGGCACTAGGACTTGCAGCCTGCCAGGACTCTTGCCTTAAGCACCCCTCCAGCTGTCAGTCCCTGCAAACACCTCTCCTGGGCCAGTAAAAAGCTTTCTGTAGTTACAGGTACTTCCCTCTGCTTTCCCTGGTCATCAGTGACGATTGACAGGGAACATGGTGATCAATTTCCCTTTACCCTCTGAAGGTGGTAAGGTGAAGTCCTGGCCCAATTCTTTTTTCTTGGATGGGTTTCTTTTTTTGGCCTATGCTTGGTTTTCTTATAGGTTTAACAAGATTTCTGGTGGGAGTTGTCTGGGATTCTTAACCTGTGTCTTGTAGAGGAATTAGTGGTCAATAGAAACATCAGTATTTAAGACTGGTGTAACTTACTGGTTTTAGGCCCGAGACTGATATTAAAAGAAAAAAGTGAAAAATAACTTGTAAAATAACCAATTTTCAGAGGCAGCCTTGGCTTCCAAACATGCTAAATGTGCACTCGTGCACACACAGACACACACATAAATACAACCTAGGAGTAAGTACCACAAGTAGTTCAGGCAGAATCTGCTACCGTCCCTGGTTTCTCCGTGTGGG